TTAGCTTCCTCCCATAATTGGGGCATACCAGGGGTTGTGACACTAAATATATATATGTTGTTGTATTTGTGCTGATAAATAAATAAAGGGAGACTAGTATAGATCTATTTCAAGCTATTTAGCTCTCATCAGCTAGCCATACCCTTACTGGGATCAATATATATATATTGATATAAATCAGAATTAGAAAAATAAAGCATTGAAAAGAATAACAAAAAAGAAAAAATGCAAAACATAAATTTGTGTGTATGTGTACATATACACACATAAACACGCAAATATATATCCTGTAGTCTTCAACCTTAATTGGGATTGATATAATGGTCTCTATTTCTTATTTCAGTGTTTCTCAGCCTTAGCCATGTTAAGATGGGTGGACTTCAACTTCAGTGCTGGCTGGGGAATTCTAGGAATTGAAGTCAACCCATCTTAACATGGCTAAGGTTGAGAAATACTGCCTTATTCCATTCTGTCTTAAAATTTAAATATCAGTTTGTCTTACTAGTAACAGATATTCTTAAAAATGGTGAGCTTTGTGGTCTGATAAGTTTTAGTGATCCCTTCTAATAACTTACATGTCTTTGAAGCTGAAAATATTGCTGATCCAAACTGAGATAATAATAAAAATTGCAATTGTGAGCATTGTCAGGGAGTGACAACTGACAAACAATGTATCTTTTTACACAGAAAAGGATAGAAACACATTATCATCCACAGGTTGATCTAATCTATAAAAATACTATCATCCATCCAGTTCTTTCATAAAAATATTTTTAAATCATATTTGAGGACTGAGTTATTCAATAGCATCAATTTAGCATGAGAAAAAGGATAGAAACATATTTTTCCAAAATATAATATGCTACAGTTTTTGAATCAACATAAAGAGGAATGCCAGACATAGCAAATCTATTACATTTTGAATCCAAAACAATTCAATGAATAAGAAGATTTATATTCAAATACTACTAAAGGGCCCAGGAAAGAGAATTTGCACTAAGTGAAGACATCAAGTTCAAATAGTATGCTTTATGCAATAATTCAAGATTCAGAAAATCCAAATACCTCTCTTTGAGCTGCGGTGGCACAATGGTTAGAATGCAGTACTGCAGGCTACTTCTGCTGCTTGCAATTTGGCAGTTCGAATCTCACCAGGCTCAAGGTTGACTCAGCCTTCCATCCTTTTGAGGTGGGTGAAATGAGGACCAGGATTGTTGGGGGCAATAGGTTGACTCTGTAAACTGCTTAGAATGGGGCTATAAAGCACTGTGAAGCGGTATATAAGTCTAAGTGCTATTGCCATTTAACTGACAATTGCATCATTTTTAAAGATAACTTTAGAATTAAAGAACCCCATAAAAATTTATAAAACACTGTACTGAATTTTTTGAACATATTTTGAAATATATGTATAGGGATTTCACACAAGTTATAAATTATTATGGGAATTATATTCAATGAAGAATGCTTATCTTATTCTAAGAGTAAGATTAAATAATTCCCACTTATCAATATCCAGAATCCTTTACTTGAGTATATCTTAATTCAGGGTAGGTATTTGAAAAATACTGCTTGGTATAAGAATATCTGTACAATTGATTAATTTTACATATATGCTGCCTATATGAGGGCATACAATAGAGACAAAAATGGTTGTCCTGTTAGCTCATTGGGACCTTGATAAAGAAACGTCATCTTGTCTTTTTAGATCTCTTTTGAATGGAACTTCAAAAAACATCTCTCCTTCCATATAGGAAAAAGGATGCACCTTATGGAATAATTAAGATTATCACAGTGTTGAACTTAATCAGGGAGACTTAGATTCACACCTTCATGAGGGTTGCAAGGCAAATGCTCTTTTTTAAGCACAAATCAAACTGTTGGAGTCATTGTGGGGATAAAATTAGAGGGGACTCCAATATTAGCCATCTTTTAAAGTATTTTTTATTAAAAGTTTTACAAAGGACATAGAAACTAACAAAACTTAATAAAAAGTGAGAAAAGAACAAGGCAGAAGAACGACAAAAACTCAGGAAGAAAAAGAAACAGATGCTTGTGATTTCTTTTGAAGCAAATATAAATACACTTACTGTATGAGTACAAAAGAAAGCTCATTCTTTTATGTTATCCAGCTTTTTTACTAATAATCAAAATTGTAAATCATAAATCACATTTTCTAGTTAATGCAAAAAGTCTATGAGGTCATCCATAAAGGGAGATATTGTTTGTTCTCTAAGCAAAGAAATTAATTTAGCCATCTCTGCAAGTTCCATCATTTTTTCCACTTCTGACTATAGATATATATACATAGCCTTGCTGCAGTTACACACACACACACACACACACACACACACACACACACACACACTCTTCAGCCGTCTTGTGTGTTTAGAGAAGAAAAATGATGTTGTTGATGATTTTGGTTTTCCCCTTTAGGATGAAAGCCAGCCAGCAGAGGGCCTGACAAGTGACTATACGGTATGGGCTAACCCATGTAACCAAACTTTTGCTCCATGTCTGAAAAGCCCAGGAGATTTCATTCAAGCTGCTCACCTTGCCTCCTCTACACCGTTCAATACCATTTCAGTGCCTTTAGCCCAAGAGATGCAAGCTAGAGGTAAAATGTTGCATTAGGAAGTACATTTGCTATAATGTGGGACAATACATAATTGTATTTTCTGTGGGCATGGCATGGCTTGGTGGGCGTGGCAGGGGAAGGATACTCTAAAATCTCCATTCCCACCCCACTCCAGAGGAAGGTTATTGCAAAATACCCATTTCCTCCCTATCAGCTGGGACTCAGGAGGCAGAGAATAGATGGGGGTGAGGCCAGTCAGAGGTGGTATTTACCAGTTTTCCAAACTACTCAAAATTTCCGCTACCGGTTCTCCAAAACTAGTTAGAACCTGCTGAATTCAACCTCTGATGGAAGGTCTCTACCTCTACTACTAATTATAGTACTGTATGACTTGTTTTTAAATTTATCAATAGCCAGGTTTTGTTTTTTAATTGTTAGATTATTGTTTTGTACAAATAATCCTTGGTTAAGAACAGTAAGTGGGACTGGATTTTCATCGCTAAACAATGTGGTCATAAAGCACAACATCTAGGTGTGGGAGAACCTGTAAGTGGTTGCTGCTAATGGTGGGAGGATATGCAGGTGGCTATTGTGACACTGCATAAATGCATTCAGGCAGGGACATGCTACAAAGTATGAGATTCCGGGGTTCTCATGCTCCATAACCGAGCTCCTAAGGATAAAAAGTGGCAGGAGTGGGAGTGATTTGCAAAAGTGACTTGCAACCTTCCCTGCTGGCTTCCTCGTTGCCTTGGCTTTTGGGAAGCCGGTAGGGAAAGTTGCAAATGGTGATCATGTAACTGTGGGACACTGTAACCATTCTAAGTGCAGGCTAGTTGCCAAGTGCCTGGATCATGATCATGTGACTATTGGGGTGCTGGGATGGCCTGAACTTTGAAGTCTGGTCATTAAGAACTATTTGTTCTATGCCATTGTAACTTAGAACAGTTGCTGAATGTGGTTGTTAACCGAGGACTTTCTGTATTGAATTTGCAAGCCATCTCAAATATTTTAGAGAGGAAAGATCAAAGTAGAAAATACTTACTGTATTTTTCGGAGTATAAGATACACCTTTTTGCCTCAAAAAAGAGTCTGAAAATCTGGGTGCGTCTTATACATCGAATACAGCAATTTTTTGTCTCCCGAAGCCCCACCCCTTCAAAATGGCTGTGCATACTCTTATGGAGGCTTTCAGAGAGCTCCTGGGAGCTGGGGAGCGCAGAAATAAGCAAAAAACGGGTCATTTTGGGGAGGTTTGCAGAGTGCAAAAACTCTTCCCCCCCCCTTTGGAAAGCTCTTTAACTGATTGATGAGAATTACATTGATCAAGTGCTGTGCCAGCAGAAAGAAAGTCTTAGGTGCTGCAGATTGTCAGTGATTTCCTTCTCCAGCACATGAATAAATACACCTGGAAACATCTATCTACTCTCTCTCTCCCTACATATCTACTGTATTTCTCTCTGTCTCCCCCCCATCTATCTACCTACTTACCTACCTACTCCCTCCCTCTCCCTACCTATCTACTGTATTTCTCTCTCTCTATCCCTCTACCTACCTACACCCTCTCTCTATCCCTACCTACCTACTGGATTTCTCTCTCTCTCCCCCTCCCTCCCTCCCTCCCTCCCTTTATCTACCTACCTACCTACCAGTTACGTGCAGTGAGGTTTATGGCTGATGAGGCACTGACACAGTGGTGGGGTTCAATTTTTTTTAGACTTGTGGACTTCAACTCCCAGAATTCCACAGCCGGGCATGCTCAGTTCTGATTTAAAGCAACAGCATGTTTTTCTCCTTTGCAAAAAAGTTTCCTTCATTCTTTTTCTCCCCCTCCTTCCTCCCTCTCTCCTTCCCTCCCCCCTCTCTCAAACAGACACACGCTCACAGAGAAGTTGGATTGGACTATCTCTCCTACCCCCTTCCCTCTCTCACTCACTCTCTCTCAAACAAACACAAACACAGAAGTTGGATTGGATATATTTTCTAATGGCTTGAAAGCAGCTCCTCTGCCATACCCCCAACCCCCATTCCCCTGCTGCCTTCCCCAAACACCTCCACCATTGCAAATGGAGCCTGTTGTCTGGGTGGGAAATGCCTGAAATGGAATAAAGCCCACCCACCCACTCACCTCCTGCTGGCAGGCTGGGGTGAGAAAAGAGGCAGAGAAGCCGGAGGGGAGCCGATCCGAGCCTTTGATTGCAAGTGGAGCCACATTGTCTTTTCAAACTTGTAATCAGTGAAGCTGGGCTTATATAGTTTTATCCAGCTGTGTGTGTGCGTGTGTGCATGTGTGTGTTTGAAAAGGCAACGTGGCTATGCCTGCAATCAAACTACACTTGGGGAGGGATCTATACTTGAGGATGAAGTTTGAATTCCTCCCCCTCCCTCGGACCCACACGACCCACACGTACCTTTTCCAGCTGTTTCAGAGAGGATTTCAACTCTGCTCTTGCCTGTCATCATGAAAAGAAAAAAAAAATGTAAAAGGAAAAAGGCAAGAACTGAGGTCAGGCTGGGCTAGTTGCTGCCAGAGTCACTGTGGATGACTTTGCTTAACTGTTTAAAAAAGCCTCTAAAAAGCGCCCTCTATAGGAGGAGGCAGGAGAACGACGTGCCTCACCTATGTCAGGAATTTTTAGGCTTTTAACCCTTGCTTAACTCTGCTCGAGTGATCATAAAACGCCTAAAGTCAGACTAGATGAGGCATGTCGTTCTCCTGCCTCCTCCTGTAGAGGGCGCTTTTTTAGAGGCTTTTTTAAACAGTTAAGCAGAGTCATCCACGGTGACTCTGGCAGCAACTAGCTCATCCTGACCTCAGCTCTTGCCTTTTTCTTTTTACATGTTTTTTTCTTTTCATGATGACAGTGGTGAGGCTCTGCCTCCCCTGACTGCACGTCCCTGGTACCTACCTAACTATCCTCTCTCCCTACCTACCTACTGTATTTCTCTTTCTTTCTCTCCCTCTCTATTGCTCTATTTATCTACCTACTTTTTTAAAAAAAGTTGCCTCTTCAAAACCTTGGTGCATCTTATACTCCGGTGTGTCTTATACTCCGAAAAAATCATCAGTTCCTGCTTCTTAACAGGGAATGGGCCTTCTTGCTTCCCAGTGCCTACGAATATGTATTTCATTGGCTCTGGAACTTTATGTTGGTTATCTCCAGTCTGGTTCCTCTCCAGATGTGTGGACAATTCCAAAGAATTCCCCAATCAGCATGGTGATTGCTGAGTTTTGGGGGGAATTGAAATCCAAACATCTGAAGAGTGGTACTCTTCTCTGTTTTTTCTCGTTTGGGTTCAACTCTCCAGATTTTAATAATGCCTATCATTAAGGATTTCTTGTACTTTCCTGATTATTTTCAGTATCTTGACTATTTTTATTGTCTTACAAAGTCTTTGAGAACCCTTGGGATGAGAGTTTAATCTTCCAGCTTCTGTCCAGGGTGCCAAAACCAATAAGTGCTTATCCCAATACTTTCCAGTGGGCATCAAATCTTCCAGTTGTCAGACCAAAAGCTATTGTCACATTAGGTAAGTCCCATTACATGTTTAGTGTTTTTCTTTTCAGAGTTACGAAACTTTTAAAAATGTTGTACTGACAGTTTTATTGCACATATTTCAGTATAAAAGAGAAATTGGGAAATTGTGTTTGTGTCCATTAAAGCCATACAGTTTTATGGAAGAATTTATTGCCAACATGCCAACTGTTTTGGTTGTGTTCATCCATAATTTTCAGACAAGATTTGTTTTAATAATGATAAAAATTCTTACCAAAGCAAAAGAATTGAAACTATGAAATATAAGGAAGGAAATTGTGTAACTGAAGATGATACTTTTTTCTTTTTTTAATGGAGCAGACTACATTGGCTGTAGTGGCTTGGAATTATAGAAGGCAAAAGGCAGCAGGCTACTCTAGTGAACTAATAAAACTACAAAAGTAATCCATAGTTTCAGCTGACTCTTTCTAGAAATTACTTAAACTATCACACCAAGGGAAGAATCTGTTAAAATGGAAATATATTCCACTTCATTTTTTCACTTGAGGGAGGAAAAATGAGGCAAGAAAGGGCCTAACCCAGTGTTTCTCAACCTTGGCGACTTTAAGTCCCGTCGACTTCAACTCCCAGAATTCCCCCAGCCAGTTCTGCTGGCTGGGGGATTCTGGGAGTTGAAGTCCACGGGACTTAAAGTTGCCAAGGTTGAGAAACACTGGCCTAACCTTATTACATGATTCTTATATGATTTCTCATTACATGCAACCTCAGTACACACTGTTGTTTGTAGGGCAAATGACACATTTAAAGAAATAATAGGAATTAAAATTTATTGTTCTACCATGCGGGAACGATAACTATTGATAAATCCACTCATTCTGTTCTCATAGTATAAACTCTATGTGTATTTGGCTGAATTTCCAGAATTAGAGGCAACATATTGGTCAACATTTGTTGCTGGTGATATTGAAAAAGAAGGGCCATCCTTCCACAGTGCATGGATCCTGCTTCTGCACTTCTGGTGTGCTTTGGCATTTGTTTTTTACTGAAATTTTAGGGAGGCGATTGCAGATGGAACTGACACAAACCTTATTTAGCTGGAAGTGGGCAATTTGTGCTATAATCCCAAGACCTGTTCTACTTGCTTATCTCTTCTTTGTCCTCATTCAGCATCCACATCCTTCCACATTGATTGCTTACTTGGAGAAGGAGCTTTTGCACAGGTGTATCAAGCTTCTGTCCTTGACATGGATAACTCTAAGAATAATCACAAAGTAATACTGAAGGTATTATATTCAACTATAACTTCCAGAATCTTGTTTAAAATTAATTAATCCACCTGCTTTACCAGTAAAAACAATGTTGTCTTTTAAATCTCTGATTCCCATAATCTCTCCTGTCCATTGCTGAATTGATGTCAGATTAGAATTTAGCAGTGAAGAGAAATGGGTGCCTGGGCAAGCTGGATATGTAAGACTCTGCAGACTGTATCTAATCTGTAGAGCCAGGAATGTTCTCTATGTACCTTAGAAACATGCTATAGCATTGACACACTGCTTTATATGCAGGGTGGAAGTTGGTGTATTACTGGCCAGGATCAACAATTAAATAGATTTTTAAAATGTTCTAACATGGTTTGGGAGAGGTGATCAGTGCATCCTCTTGATATTTTGTGGTGCCCCTCAAACTCCAGGTAGTGTTATGGCCAATCGGCCATTGTCATTTGAAACAATAGAAAATGTCAGGTTTTGGTTTAAATTAATAGCATAAAAAATCTTTCTATGTGGTTACTGGCTCCCGTTCATTGAAGCAAAGCAGAACTGTTTATTGTCTTTATAGATACAGAAACCTGCAAGCCCCTGGGAATTCTATATAGCAGCTCAGCTGACTGAAAGGCTGAAGCCTCATATGCATCATCTTTGCATCCAATTCCACGGTGCTCACTTCTTTCGAAATGGAAGTGTTCTAATAGGGGAGCTTTACAGTTACGGAACTTTATTGGTAAGTGTGATCTGTATGTATATTCTTGTACAAATGTCATCACAGTTTGAAGGACCAGAAAAGGAGGAGTATAGATGTCCTTTTTTGGGGGGGGGGTAACAAAAAATCAAGAAAGGAGTCGTGACTACACAATTGAAGGCCCGCCCCCTTTTTTACCTGCATTACAATCATGTTCACCTTTTAAAACCCACTCTCCCCCTCCAGCAGATGAATGTGTTATGACTTGCAAGTAGAATTAGGTTTAGGTTTTATTGGACTTACATACCGCCCTTCTCCTAAAGGACTTAAGGCGGCGTACAAAATAAAAACACATATGACAAAAGTTGAAAAAGATTAAATAGGAAATCCAATAACCTTCAATTGACAATTTAAATCAAATTTAGGATTAAATTAAAATTGACAATTTAACAATTGTTTAACAAATTTTAAAATAAATTTAATAATTTATTTTATTCTATTCAGGCCAGGCCGGCTTGCTGGAAAAGCCAACTTTTTAGGGTGTGCCGGAAGGACAGGAGGTCAGGGATTATGCAAAGCTCCGGGGGAAGCTCATTCCAAAGGGAAGGCGCTCCCACAGAGAAGGCTCTCCCCCTGGGTGTCGTCAGCCAACACTGCCTGACCGATGGCACCCTGAGGAGGCCAACTCTGTGGGATTGTACTGGACGGTGGGAGGCTACGGGTGGCAGTAGGTGGTCTCGCAAGTATCCAGGACCTAAGCCATGGAGCGCTTTAAAGATCATAATTAACACCTTGAATCGCACCCGGAAAACAACCGGCAACCAGTGCAGGCCGCCTAAAAGGGGTGTAACATGGGAGCACCTAGGTACCCCTATGACAACCCGCGCGGCTGCATTCTGGACCAGCTGGAGCCTCCGGGTGCTCTTCAAGGGCAGCCCCATGTAGAGAGCATTACAGTGGTCCAGGCGAGAAAGGACGAGGGTGTTAGTGACTGTGCACAGGGGCATCCCGATCCAGGAAGGGGCGCAATTGGCGTACCAGGCAAATTAGTTGCCCTTAACAGAAAATATTTGGCCAAATTAAAATAGTTGTTTAGAAAGCATTGTTTTGCTGAATTTATGTATGAAATCTTTCTAGCAGGATGTAATTTTGTAAACCAGGTGCATTTTTTCCTCCAAGGTCTAAGTGGAATTTGCTGTCAAGTGTATAGCTGATGATGATGTTGCTTTTACATCTCAAACATCTGTAATTTTAAAAGTGTGTGTATGTGTGTGTAAACTTTCTATATCCACTATACACAGGATTTAAGGCATATTCATTTCTCCACATGATCATCTGCTTCTCATCTGTCTCCTCTGTAGAACACCATAAATATATACAAAAAACTAACAGAGAAGGTGATGCCCCAAGCTCTGGTTATTTATTTCACCATAAAAATCCTGCACATGGTAGAAGAGCTTCACAAGTGTGGAATAATTCATGGTGACATTAAACCTGACAACTTCATATTTGGCGAAAGGTATGTATCTCACTTGTGAATGTTTTGAGGTCTTTTCTTGTCAATATGACTTGTTGCATTGCTTAATAGTGATCATTGTTAATTGCTTTTAAATAAGGTTTTTGGACAATGACACATGTGATATTGATGGCACATCTCATGGTCTGACGATTATTGACTTTGGTCAAAGCATAGATATGACCCTGTTTCCTGAAGGAACCGCTTTCAACGGAAAGTGTGAGACATCTGGGTTTCAATGTATTGAAATGATTACAGGCAAGCCGTGGAATTACCAGGTATGGACTTACATGTATGATTTTCATACTATGCTATGTAGCCCATGTAATTACAGACTTGTTGATCATGGAGGAAAATTTAATTCAGAGATGTAAGTTTTGATTCAGATGTTACTAATCTTTCTTTAGAACACCTGTTATACAGCAGTACTAATGTAATTATCGGTGTATCTGAGATTCTGCATTCAGATCAGGTTCAGGCTTGAAGCTCCCGGCTTCATTTGGCCCAGACACACCTGCTCAATCTAATCTATTCCAGAAGAGCACCAGGAATAAACCAGGGAAAGGAGACTGTTTGCAATTGGATCATATTCATGGGAGGATGGGATTAAAAGCAGATATTTTTAAACACCTGAAGCTAAATGTTTTTATAATGTTTTTACTCCTTAGACTGATTATTTTGGAATTGCTGCAACAGTGTACTGCATGTTATTTGGCACATATATGAAAGTAAAAAATGAGCAAGGAATCTGGAAACCTGATGGTATCTTTAGAAGGTTGGTCTATAATTACTTTATTTCAAGAATAATTTTCCCAAGCCATATATTTTCTCTACTGTAGAATTGCTCCTTGTATGTTAGATCTGACTCATGGGGTGCTTAGATTTGGCCTGTGGGCTGCCCTGGAAACAGCAAAGGACCAGCCCACAGTGCCTCTGCCAGCGAGAATGGAGCTCAGGGGACTGCATGCAGCCCCGCTGGGCCCCATTTTTGGGTGCAATGGCCTCCTGCAACCCTCTGCCAGCAAAAATGGAGCTCCATCTTCACTGGAAGAGGGCTAGCAAAACAAACTAAAAACAACAAAAGGAGGAATGTAAAGAGGAAGTACAAAGAAAAAGATAGGAAGAGAGCAAGGAAGGAAAAATAAGGAAAGGAGAATGAAGAAGAAAGGAGAAGGAGGAAGGGGGGAAGATTATAATGAGAGTGAATGAGGGTCTCAAGGAAGTCCTGCCTTAGCACTTGGCCCCCATAGGTGCCCCTGACATGAGTGACATTGAGCTGACCCTGCCCTCTGGTCAGACCACGCCCCCTGCCCCAACCCCAAGGTCAAACAACCCTGATGCGGCCCTCAATGAAATCGAGTTTGACAACCCTGTTACAGAAGATGCTATCAACCTTTGTCGTAATCGAAATTGGGAAACACGATTTATGGACAATTTCTATTTATATTCTTCAAATCCTGAGCAAGAATATGTGATTTATTTTTGAAATAAAGAATTAATTTGCTCTAAGGGTATACTCCAAGAAATGGAAAGAACCAGTGCAAAGCATAAATATGTCCCTCGGATACCACTAGCATTATATTCCCCAGATACATAATTATTTCTGTGTTACATTAAAAACTGCTCTACAGAGTGATCTTAAGACACTTTTAATAAAATCTGATTATGCTTGTAAAAAATAAAGTAACATTACGATTTTTAGTTGCATTATAGCTCCGCTTATGACAGCTAATAGAATAAATGCAAAAATGGTGATTAGCACATTTATTTTTCATGTAAAGGGCTTCAAGGTTAGAAATACAATGATTTTTTTTACCATTTTCTCTAGCCATTCAATTAGGAATATCATTAGGAATACAAAAATGAATGGGAGTCTGAAAGAACTATATTTTTGAAACCTAGAGAAAAAATCTGAAGACGAAGTGAAATGTTTCATTGTTGATCCAACAGCCCAAAGTTGGTATTGACCAGTAGGAAATCTAATTTGAAATTCATGGTACAGCCTATTTTGGATAAAGCTATAGTCCAGGGGTGTCAAACTCAATTTCATTGAGGGCCACATCAGGATTGTGTTTGACCTTGGCGGGGGGGATGTCACCAGGATGGGCATGACCAGCTCAATGTCACTCATTGAGGGGCACCTGTAATAGGCATAGTGCTCTGCCAGCAAAAAATGGGCTCCTAAGCTTCATTTTCACCAGCAACGGCCTCTGCCAATGAAAATGGAGCTCGGGATGGCCATCCGCGATCCTTGCAAGTTCTGTTTTTGCTGGCAGAGGAATTGCGGGCCAGTCCTTCACCCATGTTTCCAGGGTGGCCCCACAGGCCAGATCGACACACCCCGCATGCTGGATCCGGCCTCCAGGCCTTGAGTTTGGCACCCCTGCTCTAGTCCATCTTCCAAAATAATTGACACAGCTTTCCACTTGTGATGCTGGTTCTGAGAAACATCTGGCCACATCTGGTAAAGATTGATTTAAGTTTTTACCTCCCCTTCCCATTTTTCCCCCTTAGGGTTCCCAATGGAGAGGTCTGGGTTAATTTCTTCATCACTTTGCTGAACATACAAGACTGCAACCACTTGCCTTCATTGGGAGCTTTACGGGCAACGTTGAGAGACTTATTTTTAAAAAGTTATTCCAATAAAGTAATAGTTCTCCGTAACAGGCTTGCAGTGTTGCTTGTTGAAAACAAACGATCACGGAAGTAAAGACTGGACTCTTGTGAAACAACGAAAAGATTTTGATATTGTTTGATCAAGTCTTCATGAAGTTTCATCTTGTTTCGTCAAGCGGCAGTTTAACTTTGGTTTGACTTGCAAAGATTGGCACTGTACTTCTGATGCTTAAATGGTGCACGATTAATGGTGTTGGCTTCCATTTTCTAACACTTCTCAAAAATGTTAATATTGGAGATGAACCCTCTTTTTGGAACTGGACAGCAGAAAAATAGGGAATAGGGAGTGGAGTTTGAGCAAAAAGTCAACATGGAGAGACCCAAACCTTGAGAATGAAAATTGAGATTGATGGAGGAGTCAGCACTTGTGGAACTCACATCCTAATATCTAAATGCTCCAGTGTCTTTTTTCCTGTGAGTACTTTATAAACAATAAAATGTGCTTTCAAAGGAAAATTGTCTAGTCAAGTCCGTTCATTTTAATTTTTCAAATAAGAGTTGAATAATAGTAAATAATACAAGGCATCAAGTGTGATAGATAAATGTAATACTGTCAGCATATCTTGAGTTAAAATTATAATTATATTGTATTAAAACTATTATTTAGTCATTAAGTACCAACCATGGATCAAGTTTCCTGTATCTGAAGCTCTTCTACTATGATAAGTTTCCAACAAGACTATGATGGGAATTGTAGTCTCCAGACAGTTTCTTACATAAATATATAAAAACAGAAACCAAATTGTCTTATAGTTACAATCATACCCTTTATCCCAATTCCTTATTCCCAAGAGTAAAAGCTTTACTGCTGGTCTCTTTGTCATTACTATCTCAAAGAGAAAAACAACCCCAGCCAAGTCTCCAAATATAATTATGGGAGGAAGCTAACTGCTTCCATCATCTGTCATTCGGCTCGTCACAAGAGTTCATCACGACAGAAACCCAATA